TGCCTATTGATGTAATGGCATTGTTAATACCACCAGATGACGATGATAGCGACGAAGACTGATCAAGAAAGCTCAAAAAGCTTAATTAAATTCCAAAATTCATCAAAAACCCTAATTGAAAAGATCTTTCTTAATCTTTTTGCCAGAAGGTTCAATTAATTAAGGTTCATTCAAAAAATTTCATTGAAATTCAAAAAATCATCAAAGAATTTGAATAAAAAGTATATAATATATATAAAAAATGGCTAGTTTAACTTATTTCATCTGAACTAATAAAAAGATGTTTTTTTAAGTTGATTTCAACAATTTCGACACACACCAATAAGTTTTTTCTATTTTCTGGCATCTTTAAAACTCTTTCAAAAAATCATCGCCCAAATCATTTTTTTAAATAAAATCATCGCCGTGTGCAGAGAGGCCAACCATGACAAGATTAACCTTTCTTCACTCAACTCTTTTCCGAACTTTCATCAATTTCTAAAAAAACATGGTAGAAAATGTAATCGATACTTGGATGAAGATGTAGAGGATGCCAAGCATGTATTCTTTCAGTACCAACGGTAATGATCTCATAGGCCAGAATCAATAGCTAGTTTGAAGATCGGCGTCGAAATTATTTGGAACAATCTATTCATCCTTAAAATGACCCAACTCAACCTTTTTTTTAACGAGGTCGGGGAAGATCTGCTAACAGACATCTGGCCTGGGGTGTTGGGCGGCCAGATACTGTGGGGTTAGGGTCGAAGACTCCGACTCACTAAAAACCCCTTTCCCCGTCTTCTCCGGAATCCGCTGGTTTGACGTTGCTTCTGAGTTTGTTGCTTCTGTCACTCGGGAAAGAAAAACTCTCTCCTTCTCCTCCCCAAAAGTCGTTTCGACGAACACACACCTTGCAAAAGACATTTTAAAACAATTCCAATTACTTTTTGACAAGTCATTTTTACCATATCGTATCTGGGTAGGGGGGGTCTGCTCCCTCCCCCCCTAAATGGCAGTAGTGAGAAGTAGGGGGAAGGCAGTAGACCTCCCCCTATATCCCCGTCCATCCTAAAGTCGGACATCCGGACTTACCAAAAATTTGAAATTCGTTTTTTCTGAAGTCACCCCTTCGCCACCCATTTCATACTCACGACGAATACTTCGCAGAAGACATTGTAAAAGAAATCCATTACTTTTTTGAAGATTCATTTTAAGCATACCATACCTGGGTAGGGGGGAGGCAGTAGATCTCCCCCTCTATTTTCCCGTCCATTTTCCCAAGGTTGAAATTGTTTACCTCTCCTTCCAGCCCCATGACGAGGCCTCTCAAACATAACAAAAGGAAACTATTACTTTCTGAAAAGATATTTTATCATATACCGGGGGAAGGTATAGACCTCCCCCCTTATTCTTCTTCCAGTATCCGCCATCACTCACCAGGGTTCCCTTTCGTCTCTCTCTTTGTTACTAATGACTTCTCTTATGAAGGTTTCCATCATGTTCCACCTTTCTTTGCTCTCAAGCATTATCTCAATGCAGTTTGTTGGTGTTATTTTACTTTTTAGCTGCCTATTTACCAGCTCTCTCTCCTTTTCCCAACGGGAGCACCGAAAAAAAGTGTGCTCCGCGTCATCTCTCCCGCCACAGTAGACGCATTCCTCATTTTCCGCTCTTTTATGAATGAACAAATAGGCTTTATAGCACCCATGTCCCGACATGAATTGGCTTACGAAATAATTAACATTTCTCCATTTTCTTGTTAACCAAGATTCAATGTTTGGCAGCATTTGCTTTGTCCATGCGCCCTTCCCAGTGTCCTTCTTCCATCTGTCATTCCATGTCCCTATGTTCAGTTTTTCATTTCATTTTTATCTTGCGTTTCATCGCCAGCCGCCGCCCGTTTCGCGACCATCAGATCCATGGGCATAGAATCCCCCAGAACCTGTAGTACTTTTGTTGAGACAGTCCTATATGCACTTGTTGTTCTAATATTCTTCTGACTTTCTGACAGATTGCAACAGTTCGTCAAAGAAGATGTTCCACAATAGTGGTCCCAGAATCGACCCCTGTGGCACTCCCCTGGTATTTTCATATATGTTTCCTTCATACTTTACCTATCTTTTACTCAGATAGTCCTTTATTAAGTTAACTAACTGTACCGATATTCATATCTTTCCCATAGCTTCCACGATTTTGCTCCATAGCGCGGATCCAAAGGCGTTACGAACGTCCAACGTAATCAACATACAGAGTTTTTTCTTTCCTCTTCTAAACTTGTCTATACATTTAACTTCATCCAAAACCCTCTCAATTGCCTGTACCATAGATCTATGTCGCATGAAGCCATATTGATATTGAGATTTTCATCGAAATTCGGTTTTTTATTATAGCTTCAAACAATTTTCCATAGTTATTTAGGAGGCACAGAGGTATGTACTTCCTCTCGTTCTTTTTGCCTGGTTTACTAATCAGCACAAGCCTTCCAATCTTCCATTCTTCCGGGAAGCAGCCTTCCTTGATGAGTCTATTGTACATAGCAATCATCTGTTTTGCACCCATAACATCTTTAACAATCTCAGTTGTTATCCTATCCAGACTGGGAGCTTTTCCGTTACTCATGTTACTTGACAGTACATACAGTTCTTCAATAGTGAGTTCAGCGCACATCTGCGTCTCATTTACTTGTTCCCTTACTCACGCTTCTCTACTTCCGCTTGGGAATAGCTCTTCAATCAGTTTGTCCACCTCTCCCTTTTCCAAAAGGACTTTTGGTAGATTTTTTGTCCTTTTCATAGCAATCTTATATGCGTCTACAAATACATCTTCCTCAAGCTCATTGCACAGTTTTGTCCATGTTTTTTTTTTTTGATCTTTTGATTTTTATTTTAAGGTTTTTCTTAGCATCTGTGTAGTCAAGCTTGGCTTTTTCCTTCCTGTTATCATTTCCGTGCTTAGCGTATCGTTATATCTCATCGCATGTTTCTGTCGAATAGTTGTCAATGTTTCAGGTGTAATCATTTCGCAGGATTTCAATTTTCGTGTAACTTCTTCTTTGAAGCCGTTTATCCTTTTCGGGCATTTTCTCCATCTATGTTCAGTCTCTCTGTACTCGCCCTTTTGTTCTTTACCCATCTTCACACTAAAAGTGTGTTGCGGAAAATTCCGTGGAATGTGGTTTCGGAATAAGGAGGAAGAATTAAATGTTAAAATTCCAAAAGAAAACTGGTTTATTAATCACACTCTAAGTACAAGGTCCAACAGCTTACAAAAAATATGCTGTCTATTCCCAAGAGGTCACTCGAGTCTGGTGTCACAAACCAATGTGGAAAACCAAATCAAAACCAGACTCGAAGGATCCTCACAAATTTACATCCCCACCTCGCACGTGGTAAACAAAAACTAACTTAAATTCAAATAAACGATACCACAAACGGGGATATACAAAAATATTATGTTTCAAGTGATGTTTTGGTGGTCACTCAAATTTTTCTCCTCGTCCACTTCCCAGTCTTCAATTTGTTTTAGCAATTCACTATTATTGCATAGCGTAATGTCAATGTGGGACGTTTGCTCTCCTCTCCACCAGGTTGGGGTGTTTCCCCTGTTTATGACCATCAGGTTCTTCTCACTGATCCATTCGCAGAGTTGCCTACCTCTTTCGTCCTCCTTTACAGAGCCCCAGTAAGCAGATTTGGCATTAAAATCCCCAAAATGTCTCGCGACTCTCGTTTGTTCATTGCAGTAGTGATCTTGTTTAATTTCATTTTATATGTTTCTAAGCATTCATTTGGGGATAGGTAACATCCTAAGATGGTTCCCACTGCTCCCTTCCCACTTGTGACTCGCAACTCTGTTGCTGTCGTTATTTAAGATCTTTATAGCCACATCTCTTTCTTGATTTTTACACCAACCTCCCGTTTCTATTTTTTTTCCTATTTGTATTTGTATATCGACATTTTTTTCCATTGCCTGCTTCTCTATCAGGTTCATAGCCTCCAAGTTTCTGTTAACGTTTAATTGTAATAAAAGCCATGTAAAAACTTCTAACTTGCATTTATTTATATAAAGTCGTACTAGTTTCGGGTTACCCCATCATCAGCGACAAAGTCAATGAAGCTATAATAGGTGTAGACTGGAAATCAGGTAAGAATAAAGCATTTTCTATCTGATGAATAAACAAAATGAAGATAAAAGATGAAAAAGGAATGGCGACGTTGAAAAGTGTGGAATGTTAAAAATTAGAAAAACTTTAAGAGAACCAACGCATCGTTGGTGGGATGAGATGAGGCGAGACTGTTGTTTATATTTTAATTTTCTTCGCCATTTTCAAGATCTTCATCCATCACACCGTCAATAGTGATCGCCATACTGCTTTTTTTCTTATTGTCATTTTTACTAATCTTATGGTACATATGACCTTCTATTTCACAGTCTCGACAAAAACTGGTTTCACTACACTCCTTTCTTTTATGGCCTGCCTTTTGGCATCTGTTGCACACCTCGTTTTTTCCTTTTTTCTTGGTTATACTCCCTAGCTTTGTGTTGCAGGCTGCCACAATTATAACATCTGACCGGAGTCAACATTTCTTGAAGTCTACCACTTGACCAGCCCACTCCCAGTACTTTTTTTTCCAATATCAGTGTCACTACTCTTTTATTTAGACCCAACCCAACATTTGACGACATTTCTTGATTATCTTAAGCAACCTGTCTTCCAGAGGATATCGCTAATCTCCCAATAATTAAAGGATTGTTAATGTATGCTTGTATTATGTTAAGATAATGCAACAAAAATCATAAATTCAACATTTTTAAAATATTTTTGAGAGATTTTGCAGTATTTACTTAGAAGTACATAGATCTCAAATAAAATCTTGTTTATTAGTCCATCTCTCGTTATCTCCTCGATACTTAAGTGCAACTCAAGATATTTCTTTCGATGCATTAACAAAAATCTGTTATCTCTAAAAAGCATAACCAGATAAAGTTTTTTGATATATAAATCGAAATAACATTTTCAAAGCATTGGTTTTCAAGATGTTGAATAAATCGGTTATAGTTCTTCTTTTAGGCATTATATTGTGTCATAAAATTAACGCGGAATCATGTGATGGTAAACTTTTTAATTTATTCATAACGCGTAATGTAATTTATAAATAAAATTTTAGATATGGAATTAGAACCTCCACAAAATTTTGCATCCTACGTTGATTACTACTTATACCTTTCTTGGATGCCTCCACCGGGATTTGGAAATTGTGCAGTTACTTATTCGCTTCATATTCAAAACATGAACACTTCGGATTATTTAACTCCCGTTGTGTATTTAAATGGTCTTAATTACATTTTTGATTATGATAAATACGATAAAATGTGTGTTCACGTGAGAGCTTACATATACGCTCATTACAATGGTCAATCATCAAGTTTTGCTACGATTATGAATTTCTTAGGTAAGGATTCTAATTTTTTAATGAATGTGTTTTGATGATTTTTTTAAAGATCCGGTCAATGAACAAGGTCCTCCAGCTTATCTGTATCTTAATAATACAGAAACAGCTTTAGGGATTTATTGGTCAACCCCAATAGGTTACGAAAAATGTGACTATTACTTTACATATTGGTTAGCTATTGGTTTTAAAGATTCAGGACATGGCATGATTTCTTTCCCACTGACCGGATATTATTATTCTTATACTTTTCCATATCCAGAAGGGCACCAACTTTACTGTCAAGAAGTAGATGTTAAAGTTTCCGGTTCTTTTAGAGGAAAACCTGAAACATCCATTATTGCAAGTGCAGTATTTGGTAAATTACTTTTTTTTCTGGTTTAAAATGTTAATTATATTAATTAATTTTTAGGTCCACCGGGAGTTTGCTAACAAAATCAATAAAAAGTAGTTCAATTAAAAATTGTGTTTTTTTACAATTACCATAAAATTTAATGTTTAAAAAAAACTAATTTATTTTTTTCTTAAATTTCTTGTTGTTTCCTGTTGATTCGACTCTTTAAGTGGTCAGTAAAGAGAATTAATGCGCGTGTCAAGTTGGGAATCGTTGGACACGGCAAAGTGTAAAGAAATTTAAAAGAATTATTTTAATTATAGACCTGGACCGATCCGTCACCACGTCCTTTGTCGTAATTAATGCGAGTCGGTGTCGATCAAAGGGACCAAGTTACAAGACGAACTCCGGCTACCGGATGAAGAAGGTACCCGAAAGACTGCTGACCGCCTTTAAGCCTTTATTGGCATTTTTTAAACGACAGCGACACTAAGAATCCTCGAAGAAGACTTCGAGAAATCTTCAAGCTGCTTTTTCTTTCCCTTCATCGGGTTCTTGAGGGTTTCACAGTTTTTTGTTGAAGACGCCAAAAAAAAAAATAAGAGAAAATTCCGGCACCCTCTCACATTTTTAAAGATTCTTTTTGGGTCTCTTGAAGTTTTTTTTTATTTTTATCTCGGTTTTATTCCCGTTAAGGATTAATTAAAGAGTTCATTAAAAAAATATTTTTCAAAAAAATAAATCACTTCAAGCTGAAGGGAAGCTGCGTCCAAACTGATTTAAAACTGACCCACCCACGTTAATACCGGCTGTAAACACACACACACAGAGTTTAGTGAATGGGACAATTTGTATTGTGAGAATTTAAATAGGTTTAATTGTATGGGGGGTCTTCCATCGTCTAGTATAGTCATTGTGGTCACCCTGACACCAATAAATCTATCTAATGTACTTCCAAATACCTACTGTACATATACGAAATAAAACCTCCTCTATGTATTTATGCGTATACACACAATGAACTTGAATAATAAAATCGAGAAATAAATTGCATTGAATTAAGGAAGAGTTCAATATAATTTAAGAAGGGGAGTGATAACAAAATTTATTTCAGTTTGGTGTCATTAAATAATAACTCTGGAGGATTCAATCAATTTATTGAACATAACATTAAGATGACATATTTCCTTTTATTGGATTTATTAAAAAGATAATAAGTGCCAAAACGCTCTACAGGTAGAAAGTGGTCGTGATTAATCTCGCAATGGTATATGGAGGTAAATACAAAACAATTCCAATCATTTCTGAAAATTAAGAATGGAAAAAGATGTTATAACAACATTTGAAAGAATCAACGATGTTTAGTGAGGAAAGGTGCAAAACTGTGCACCTGGTTGCACCTTACACCACTGGATTAATCTATTTTTCATTTATTAATAAAATCGTCTTTGCATTTTTTGACACAGCGATGAAAGAAAGTGTAAAACAGATAAAGGACCGTCAAGAGAAAAAAATATAAATATATACAAAACAAAGGCAATGTGTATACATAGAAAAGAAAATTATATAATTTATAAAACTAAACATAAGATTCCATCTCCGAAGGTGGTAGTTGAAGAAACTCCTCCACATCATAGAAAGCCCCAGCCATCAGGATGCGATGTACAACTTTTTCGAAGCGGCAATTAGTCATATTTTTTATTGGCAAAGGGAATTTATTGTATAATTTCATGGCTAAGTGATTAGTGCTGATTTGTGAGGTATTAATAGGATGGTGGGGAATCTGATAAATGTGATTTATAACGGATTTGTAAATATGAATATCCGAACTTTTAAAAAATGAAGTTTTAGAGGAATGCACGTAAAGAAGACTTCTTAGGATAAAAGTAGAGGATAAGGTAAGTATCCTATGTTGTTGAAAAAGTGGTTTGCAGCTTGCAGTACTGTTTTCACCTGCTAAAACCCGTACTGCTTTCTTTTGTTGCATGAAAATATCTTTGGCCGCCGGAGAATTTCCCCAAATCAGTATTCCATACGACACCCTACTATGAAAGTTGGCAAAGTAGGTTGCTCTGGCAACCTCATATCCAACAATAGCCCAGGCATCTTTAAAGATATTCAACATGAGAGTTCCAGCTATGGTTTGACATAACATACATCCCCAGGAATTTAATAGGTTCTTGTTCCCGTCCCTCAATTTTAGCTGTTAATAGTAGTTTTTGCGTCTTTTCGGCATTATGTTTCAAACTGTTGGCCCCAAACCATTCCGAACAACAACTTCTGACTTATTTTCAAGTTCAACTCTATCTTTCGACGTTAGCACAACAGATGTATCATCAGCATACATATAAATGGCATCAGCTGAGATGTTAATAGGAATATCATTTATGTAAATAATAAAGAGAATTGGGCCCAGAATTGATCCTTGTGGGACACCAGGTATAATATTAGTAACATGTGAAATTGTTATATCTATCATTTGATTTGGTAGACCTCTTATACCATAATTTTCCAGTTTATTTAACAACTTTTAAGTTTTAACAGTTTATTTGACAAGTCACAATATAATAATTGAACACCTCCTTCTCGTCAAACGCACGTGCCACAGCATCAACCAAGCTAGTTAGAGCTGAAGTCATTAAATAATTTGTTATTTTCCATATACTCAATAATTCTGCCTTTTAATAGAGATTCGAAGATTTTTGAAAAAACAGGAAGTATAGAAATAGGTCTATAGTTTTTATAATTATTTGGACTATCCGATTTGAAAACAGGGACCACTTTGACCACTTTAAGTTAATCAGGAAATATGCCGTTTGTAAAGCAACAATTCACCATATTGGTAATGGGTTTAGGTAACACGTCAATAACATTCTTAACAAGGTAGGTTGAGACATTGTATATGTCAGGGGTTTTAGTTATTTGGTAGGGAAAGGACCATCTGGAGAATCTCATGTTCAGTAGTAGGCTTTAAGAAGAAGGGGAACTGTCGACTTCCGTTCAACATTCTGGAGACAAGTACACTGGGATTTAGATTAGGACCAGGGATAGTTTCGACTGTATTTACTGCAATCCTAGAGAAATAACCATTGAAATTCTGAGCATCCAAACTGGAAAAATAATTACTCTTGCTTTCTTTTTTTCCCTTTAGCTCTTTGTTTATCAACTGCCATATAGCCTTTTGATTATTGGTCGCAGTATTGATGACTTCGACAATATGTTTTTGTTTTTCAGTCATGACCGCCGAACTATATTCTCTTCTAGTATTATTGTAAAAATCATTCACTTGAGCGTTCTTCGTTACTCTATTGATAGTTACACATCCAAACGTTTCTTAATTTTTTCAAGTTGTGGGGATAATCGTAAAAACGTAGTACCCCCATGCGATTTTATTACTGTTTTCTCAGGAAAAGCCGAGATAAAACATTCCATAAAGTGGTCATGAAAAAACGAACATTGCCGGTGTGGAAGCAGCAATGCCATTTCACACCAATGTACCTCCAAGAGTTGTCGGAATTTGTAAATATTAATTAGCTGCTTTAATTTTTCTCATTGTAATATATTGTTTTCTCTTAGTTTCAGATACATCCAGCAGTGTAAATATTTGGGCCAAATGGTCCCAAAATAGATGCGGTTGAATTGTTTCTGTATTATAATTAATTAACGGATTATATATAATCCGTTATGAGAGAATTCTAGTACGTTCAGTGAAAACATAACTTAAATCAAACGAAAGCATATCTGTACATATTGCATGTTTTCCAGAATTGTCAGAAATAAAATCGACATTCCAATCCCCAGATCATAGAGTACCTTACAAAATTCGTTTAACCTCCCCTGGGGCTAACCATAGACCGAAATAACTATTAGATTTACTTCAATAAGAAGGATGCCAGCAACTTCTATCAGTTTGTCTACAGAAAAATGCTTAATGTTTAATTCCCTAAACTTTGTATTTGATTTTAGGCATATCATCACTCCTCCGTACCCAGCATTATTATGTCTGCAATAGACCGTACCCAGATTACAGTTAGGAAACTTCAGACGTTCCAAATGCCCTTTCTTCATCCATGTTCTGTGACGCAGAATGGTCACACTCGGTTTAATCAGAAAATATCATGTTTTACTGTATTTAGCTGAAATCGCGTGCGGGCGAGGCACCCAATTGACTAATATCAGTGTAACGGAGTTTTCGCAAAAATCCATCCTTTGGGTAAACTGGATCATTCTCATTCTCTCGACAATCTCGATTTCAAGATCATTTATATGGCATTGAGAATTACTCGGTTCTAGGATAACTTTAGGCGTCATCAAATGCCTTCTTCTTGGCTATCCGCAAAATGAACAATGGTGTTGTTCCTCACATACCAAAGTGCGTTGAGTGCTAAAAACTTGAAGCTTCTGCATATGATAGTCTACCGCCATCGTCCAGATGGCAGATGCGTAGGTCATACCTTACGAGCAGAATTAAGTTTAGTTCATCGTGTACAAGAGGACCCCAAGATAGTGTTTATAGTGATTCCCAAATACTTGGTTTTGTGTGGTATCATGCGGCAATGATATTGGTACAGCTATTCTACATACATATTACCTTTAATGATCTTTAAATGTGTTTGAGGCCAGAATGGGTGAAACATACACCACGTGGACAAGAGACTGTCATAGTGGTATAGAGACTGTCATAAGCGAAATGAGCTGTATAACAATGGCTATTTTCATCAGATGGCTTGACCACTTTGCCCGATATAATGTTGCTGGAGAAGTGATGTTAATATAGGGCGTGGCTGAAAGCATTTGTGCGTGCTTTCAGCAAAGAAAGATGCAGAAAAATATTATTATTTTATGGCATTTTATAGTTTTTTGTGTTATTTCCAGTCACTTCCTGGGTAACTACTTTTTTTACTGCTTACAAAGATTTAGGGCTATGTTTCTCCATTTGCATCTTTAAGTATCCTCAAAAAAAAATCACAAGCTGATAAATCTTGGGATCCTTGAGGATCAGGCGATAATGTAGTGAGAAAAACAGCCGGAAAACAACAAGACTTGGTCTTCAACAAACTGCAAACACTGATAAACACGGAAACTTGTTATATTGCATTCAAAAACAATACAACTCATGAATTCTAAGGATGAATATATTCTCAGGTTCTTTGATAGTAACAAAACCGGCAATTTTAGGATGAGTGATTTTTCGGAAATTTTTAGTAGACGTCGCTCGTCGTTGTGAATCATTCTGTGTTTGATGGAACGTCATCTCATCTGGATGATCACATCTGGACTCCTACGTTATACTTAAAGTGGTGTTTACTTCTTTATACAACAAAGGAGACAAATTCTTTTAACTCAATGAATCTGAAGATAATCTCAGCGTCTCAATTCTTGTGCATAACAGACACCAGAAACAGACGCCCACAGACTTGTAGACACTGAGACTTTAGAGATTTTTTAAACAAAATTAAAAATAAATTATTTTATTTTTTAATTGAATTTTATAGTAATTGTAAAAGAAATACACAATTAATTACACGTTGTACGTTAACTTAATAAAGCTATTTCTTTATAGATTTTGTTAGCAAAGTCCAGGTATAAGGTATATATATCCAGGTATATATAAGGTAGCTGAAGAAGTGGGCACGGCAAAAACATCTCCCATATTTCAAAAATCGTCCTTCGTTTTAAAATTTATGTTGAGGAAACCGAGTTCTTCATAGTTCTTCGTGTCGTTTCCAGTGAAATGGCAGTCACTTCCTGGGTGATTGCCTTCTTAACTGCTTACAAGGACGTAGGCCGATGTTTCTACATTTGCACGTTTAAGTATCCCCAAAGGAAAAAATCTCAAGATGATCAATTTCTTTTAACTTTGGAGACCAGGCGCTAATGAACAGTCGTTCAGCCCGTTTAGCCTGCGGCATGTCGGATCTCACAACATCGCTTGACGTTGTGCATTTCCCAAGATCACGACGAAGATCAAATTTTCATATTTTCGTATTTTTCTCGATATCTCTGCATCTAAGAGCAAAGGTACATGAGAGCACGATTGTTTAGCATAAAATTTGCTACAACTTTTGTTCTAAAAGTTTTTTCTTGTAACATGCTCGGAAGTCTTTCCTGAAAGTTATTTATAATTGTTCGTGTCATTTCCAATGAAATGGCAGTCACTTCCTGGGTGATTGCCTTCTTATCTGCCCTAAAGTATCCCTAAAGGAAAAATTCTCAAGATGATCATTTTTTTTTACTTTGGGGACCAGGAATAATGTAGTTGTAAAAAATATGATACAAACGATGATAAACATGGTATCATGTTATATTGCCTTCTAAATTATACAACTCATGAGTTATAAGGATGAACATATGAAGAGCTCGGTGCAACCGGTCAGCTCCACTTTTTGATGAAATTGCTTTTTTGCCTGAACTTGGCCCTACTCAGCAGTGCGCATCGTTTGGTGTACAGAAACGGCTATCTCCACCGTTGCAAACTGGAAGTTGCATTAGAAATGGAGCTGGCATTAATTTGTTTGGATGCAACAGTTTAACAGTTTTTTAGTGACACTGTAAAGTTTGAAAAAATGGAGATGACCGCTTTTTACACCGAGCCCTGCATATTCTGTTGTTCTTTGATAGGAATAAAATCAGCAATTTTAGGAAGAGTAATTTTGGAGAAGTATAATATAATAAGGTGTGGACAAGAACTTTGATGGTAAATAACTTAACGACTCCCACGTTATACTTAATGACGTTTCTACTCCTTTATGCAACAAATGAGACAAAATCTTCAGCAGGAACAAGATATTAAAGGCATTATTATTATTATTATTATATTAAAAAAAATAACTTATTTTTTTTAAACATTGAACTTTATAGTAATTGTAAAGGAATAAACAATTAATTACAACTTTTTCGTTAATTTAATTAATCTACTTCTTTATAGATTTTATTAGCAAAGTCGTGGTGGACCTAAAAAAAAATTAGTACAATTAACATTTTTTCTAAATATAAAAAAAAATTTTTACCAAGTATAGTATTTCCAATAATAGATGTTGTTCCTCTAAAAGTAGCGGCAAGTTCAACATCTACTTCTTGACAATAAAGTGGGTGCCCATTTGGATACGGGAAATAGAAGCTGTTACGAACTGATGTCAAGTGCTGTTGAATCATGAATTGGTTTGTCCCTCTCAAAGAAATAGTTAGGAAATAATGGAAGAAACTGGCACAGTTTTCGAAACCTTCCGGAAATGACCAATAAATCCCTAAAGATGTTTCTGTACGGTTAAAATATATAGAAGTTGGAGGACCTTGTTCAACCAGCGGTTCTAAAAAGATATTCCATCAAAACAAACTCTTTTGAAAGCAAAATTAAAATTGTACCTAAAAAGGTAGAAATAAACGGGATCCTATCTGATGTTTGGCCATTATAATGAGCGAATATGTCAATTGCCGCTTGAACACATGTTAGATTGTATCTAGCATAATCAAAAATGAAGTTCAGACCACTTAAATGTACAACGGGTGTTAAATACTGCCAAGTGTTCCTGTTTTGAATATGAATGGAATAAGTAACTGCACAATTTCCAAATCCCGATGGAGGCAGCCAAGAGAGAAACAGAACCTGATCAATGTGAGATACAAAATTTTGCGGAGGTCCTAATTGACGATCTAAAATTTTTTTATAAATGACAATATGTGTAATATAGGTAGTTATGAATAAATTAAAAGTTTACCTTCACATGATTGTGCGTAGATTTTATTGCACAATACAACAACCAGAAAAATAATTATAACCGATTTATTCAACATCTTGAAAATCAATGCTTTGAAATTAAACGTTATTTCGATTTATTTATATACTAAGAGATATTATCTAATAATGTTTCTTAGAGATAAGAGGTTTTTGTTAACATATCGCAAGAAATATCTTGAGTATTGAATAGCTTGCGCTTGAGTATCAATAAGATAACGTGACCTATATTTTATATCAGATTCTATGTACCAATTGCGTCTCGGATTACATAGAACTTCAAAATCTAATTATTCCAGAAAGTTATTCACAGGTCTTCGTGTCATTTTTAGTGAAATGACAGTCACTTCCTGGGCGATTGCTTTCTTAAATACTTACAAGGATGTAGGGGGACGCAAAATCTTTTCGAAAATCGACTTGGTAAGAGCGTAACATCAGATACCGGCAGATGAAGAGGACATACCAAAGACAGCTATAACAATCCCTTTTGGTCTTTTCGAATTCGTTCGCATGCCTTTTGGCCTTCGAAATGCAGCGCAAACATTTCAAAGGTTTATCAATGAAGTAATACCTTCATTTTTGTATATTTAGACAATATTCTTGTAGCAAGTCGAAATGAAGAAGAACGCATACTTCATATAAAACAATTATTTCACAGATTAAGTTCCTACAATAATAATACTTTATTGCTTAAACAATACAAAATAAAGTGTTAGGTTCGTGGAAAGTATTACAATTAATTTAAGATATAATAATAACTATGGAATAAAATCCATCTCGAAGCAATAACCTTTTCACCTTCGCTTTGAATTTCGGCAAGGGTATGTTGCGAATTTCTTCGTTCAGTTTGTTGTACAAATGGACACCGATGTGGTTCGTCCCATGTTGCGTTTTGTTTATCCGGTGACGTGGCTGCCTAAGGTTGTCCGCATATCTTGTATTGTGCCCATGAACAGTGGAGCCTCTTGTTGACACATTTTTTCGTCCATGAACATGCAAAATACGGCAAGCATATATTCACACGGTATGGTAAGTATGTTATTGAGGAATACTTGCCTGCAACTTTCCCGGCAACCCATTTCATAAAGCACCCCTACAGTTTCTTTTTGTTTCAGAAACACTTTTCTTGCAGATGTTGGTGATCCCCATATTAATATACCATATGTGGCCACAGAATGAAACAACAAAAAGTAAGCACAATGCGCTGCTTCGTAGGTTGCAGTTTTCCTAAGCATTCGGATGGTGTAGATAGCACTACTTAGCCTCGCCGTGACATTCTGGACATGGTTTTCAAAGGTAAGTTTCTGGTCCAGTAGAATAGCAAGAAATTTTATACATCTGTTGCCACCTTCTATCTTGGTCGTGAACTATATTTGTTTTGTCTTCTTCCTCACAATAATTAAGAAACGATGTATCATCGGCGTACTGAAGTATGACAGAGGCGTTAACGTTTATTGGCAAATCGTTGGTGTATATTAAGTAGAGCAACGGACCAAGAATAGAGTCCTGTGGGGTACCTATATTCATTACAGTTTCTGTAGAGCTTTGTTGTTTCCATTCTACAAATTGTTTCCTGTTTATTAGGTATGTTTCTATTAGTTTATTACTGACACCGCTAATTCCATAAAAATGCATAAATAGCTTCTACCTTCCTGTTTTTATCAATAGTTTCGAATATGCATTCAATCATATGTGCCATAGCTGTTAGTGTGGATTTCCCCTTTCTGTAACCGCGATGGCTACCATTCCAGATGTTTTTACATTCAAAATAACTATATAGACGATCTCGTATCACTCATCTTTTTGAATGTCTCTCGAGTGTAGGTTTTTCTCGAATATAAATATATCTCATAAGTAGAGCTCGGAGTTTTATGCAGTCAAATTATAAGAAATATGCGCATAAATATGCAAGCTTTTTATCCGAAATATGCAAAAATATGTGGAAATACGTAAATATATACCTTTCTTATAGTTGTAATCGTCTATTTCTATCACATTTTTGTATATGTTTTGCAATTTTCACCTGTTGTTCTATTTGGGACTTCCTCTCACACGTTATGTTAAAAAAGAGTAATTAAAAAAGTTAGCCATAGACACTCAACAGATTAAAAATTTAAATCTGATTATTACTATAAAACAGATTCGTACCTATTTTTCATTGTCATTGTATGTACCATGTATCATTGTGTATTCATTGTTCCTATGTTTTTCATTGTAAAAACATATCCTAAGAAAATGGGACATCAAATTTAATATAGTTTTAATTTAACAGTTTTCCATTTTTTTAACTAGTGTAAAAGTCTATGAGAAATACAATTTCGTTGTCATCCAACCATTGGTAACCAACTCCGCTGAAAACTCTAATTTTTAACTTAAATCTTTGGCTAAAACGTTACGACATAATTTTTAAAAAAATACTTACATCTTTGGCATAAGCTTTACAAAATAATTCCTCATTATTTAAATTTAGTTCGGGATAACTTTTTATCCACTGGGACACAAGACACGATTTCAGTTTAGGCAATGTTGTTACAGATTGGTAGATTAATGTTCACTCACACTGAACACAGCCACAGTAATTATGGTTGGTGATTTCCTTAAACTTAAACTCAACAGCGCTAGGGATTTTGTCAAAAAATATCCTGTATTGTGCTGGAAACTAAAAGGTATGTTCGCATATTTAAAAATCTAGCAGTCATTATATTTATTTTATTAAGCACCAAGAAACAAATCTAGTAAAATGACAAAATATGCGAAAATATGCTGTAAAAGGCCAATTTATGCAACAACCAAAAAAATTCCAAAAATATGCAATTTTTTTATTGTACCATCTGCCTTATCTTTCTGTAATTCGCCCAGAAACCAATTTTGAAAGAAATATTCCAGAAAATAAACAAGATGCATTTTGCATAAAATTCGAGCCCTACTCATAAGTTCCTTGTCTGTTATTTCCCGACTTATGTTATATATAATAAGCCTTGGTCTCAGTTTTTTTGGCTTTCTGATTTCTAATTCCCGATTTTCGCCTATTTTTTGTTTTACAATATCGATATCTACCTGACTTCCGCCTTCTATAAGAATTCGCCTGCCTTTGAGCTTCCTCAGTCTTGACAATCGGAGCTTATTCAGGTCCTCTTCAATACAAGTTATTGCTTTCTTCTTTATGTCTTCACTTCCCAAGTTTTTATCTTTGCTGCATACAATTAATACGTTGTTTGCATCCTTTCGCTGTTTTTCCTGATATCGCTTCCCTTTTACTACATTTGACCAAGATAGTGCTTCGCTTGCTGGTTTAGGAGTTCCTATTTTTTGATCTCTATTGCATATTTTTGTCAGTAAATCCTCGACAAATTTACCTTTTTCTTCAAGTTTTGCCTGTACAGTTGCTAATCTAAGAGCTAGGTCTACCACCAAAGATTCGGTGTCGACTATTTTTAATTATTTTTAATTCGTTTTTAACCAAGTCCATTAGTTTGATTTTTGTTTCATGTAATGCGCTTAAATTTGCGTTATCTATATTCGAATCCTTCCGCTCTGGAAATGNTCCATCTCGAAGCAATAACCTTTTCACCTTCGCCTTGAATTTCGGCGAATTTCCTCGGGCAGTTTGTTGTACAAATGGACACCGATGTGGTTCGTCCCATGTTGCGTTTTGTTTATCCGGTGACGTGGCTGCCTAAGGTTGTCCGCATATCTTGTATTGTGCCCATGAACAGTGGAGCCTCTTGTTGACCCATTTTTTCGTCAATGAACATGCAAAATACTGGCAAGCATATATTCACACGGTATGGTAAGTATGTTATTGAGGAATACTTGCCTGCAACTTTCCCGGTAACCCATTCCATAAAGCACCCTTACAGCTTCTTTTTGTTTCAGAAACACTTTGCTTGCAGATGTTGGTGATCCCCATATTAATATACCATATGTGGCCACAGAATGAAACAACGAAAAGTAAGCACAATGCGCTGCTTCGTAGGTTGCAGTTTTCCTAAGCATTAGGATGGTGTAGATAGCACTACTTAGCCTCGCCGTGACATTCTGGACATGGTTTTCAAAGGTAAGTTTCTGGTCCAGTAGAATAGCAAGAAATTTTATACATCTGTTGCCACCTTCTATCTTGGTCGTGAACTTTAATATTTCTGTTTTGTCTTCGTTTAGTTTTAACCTGTTGTTGTTGAACCACAATTTAGCGCTCTTCATAGTTTCTTCCGTCTTTTGGATTAGTTGTGTCTCTTCCTCACAATAATTAAGAAATGATGTATCATCGGCGTACTGAAGTATGACAGAGGCGTTAACGTTTATTGGCAAATCGTTGGTGTATATTAAGTAGAGCAACGGACCAAGAATAGAGTCCTGTGAGACACCTATATTCATTACAGTTTATGTGGAGCTTTGTTGTTTCCATTCTACAAATTGTTTCCTGTTTATTAGGTATGTTTCTATTAGTTTATTACTGACACGTTTAATTCCATAATAATGCATTTTTCTGAGTAATATTTTGTGATTCATGGTGTCAAATACCTTGCTCAAATCACAGAAAATAGCTTCCACCTTCCTGTTTTTATCAATAGCTTCGAATATGCGAAATCATATGTGCCATAGCTGTTAGTGTGGATTTCCCCTTTCTGTAACCGCGATGGCTACCATTCCAGATGTTTTTACATTCAAAATAACTATATAGACGATCTCGTAT